TAAAACTGATAAATGTTGTGTGTTCTAACTGCTCCATCGACTGGCTGTTCCCCCATTTCTCTTCCTTTCCTTGGGTCTCCCTATTTACTGAGACACAATAATATTGAAATTAGGGCAATCAATAACCCAGCAATGGCCTTTAAGTGTTCAAGTGAAAGGAAGCGTCTCAGATCTTTTATTTTAAATAAAAAGCTAGAAATGATTAAACTTAGTGGAGAAGGCATGTTGAAAGCTGAGATAGTCAATAGCTAGGCCTCTTGTGCCAGTTAGCCAAGTTGTGGTGCAAAGGATAAGTTCTTGAAGGAAAATAAAAGTGCTACTACAGTAAACACATGAATGATAAGAAAGCAACACAGCTTTACTGCTGATATGAAGAAAGTTTTAGTGGTCTGGATCAAAGATCAAACCAGCCACAACATTCCCTTAAGCCAAAGCCTAATCCAAAGAAAGGCTCTAACTCTTCCTCTATTCTGTGAAGGATGAGAGAGCTGATGAAGCTACAGAAGAAAAGTTGGTTCATGAAGTTGAAGGAAAGAAGCTCTCTCCATGACATAAAAGTGAAAGGTAAAGCAGCAAGTGCTGATGTAGAAGCTGCAGCAAGTTATCCAGGAGCCTGGCATCTGTAGCTAAGGATGAAGGTGGGCTGGCTGCAGTGGTTCATGCCTGTCATCCCAGCACTTTGGAAGACCAAGATGGGAGGATTGCTTGAGCCCAGGAGTTCAAGACCAGCCTGGGCAACATAGTGAGACTCTGTCTCTACAAAAAATTTTTTTAAAAAGGATGAAGGTGGCTGCACTACACAGATTTTCAGTGTTGATGAAACAGCATTCTGTTGGAAGAAGAGGCCATCTAGGACTTTCATAGCTAGAGAGAAGTCAATGCCTGACTTCAAAGAACAGGCTGATTCTCTTGTTAGGGGCTAATGCAACTGATGACTTTAAGTTGAAGCCAATCCTTATTTACCTTTCTGAAAATCCAGTGGTCTTTAGAAATTAACCCTAACTCTGCCTGTGCTCTATAAATGCAACAACAAATCCTGGATGACAGCACATCTGTTTACAGCATGGTTCACTGGATATCTTAAGCCCACTGTTGATACCTACTGCTCAGAAAAAAACATTCCTTTCAAAATATTCCTGCCCATTGACAATGCACCTTGTCACCCAAGAGCTCTGATGGAGATGTACAAGGAGATTAATGTTGTTTTCATGCCCGCTAACACAACATCCATTCTGCAGCCCATGGATCAAGGAGTGATTTGGACTTTCACATCTTATTATTTAGGAAATGCATTTTGTAAGGCTATAGCTGCCATAGATAATGATTCCTCTGATGGATCTGGAAAAAGTAAATTGAAAACCTTGTGGAAAGGATTTACCATTCTAGATGCCATTAAGAACATTCCTGATTCTTGGGAGGAAGTCAAAGTATCAACATTAACAGGAGTTTGGAAGAAGTTGATTCCAACCCTCCTGGGTGACTCTAAGAAGCTTAAGACTTTAGTGGAGGAAGTCACTGCAGATGCAGTAGAAATAGTAAGAAAACTAAAATTAGAAGTGAAATCTGAAGATGTGACTGAATTGCTAAAATCTCCTGATAAAACTTGAATGGGGCTTAGTATGGTGGCTCACACCTGTAATCCCAGCACTTTAGGAAGCTGCAGCTGGTGGATCACTTGAGAGATCAGGAGTTCAAGACCAACCTGGCCAACATAGTGAAACCCCATCTCTGCTAAAAATACAAAAATTAGCCAGGAGTGGTGGCACACACCTGTTATCCCAGTTAGTTGAGAGGCTGAGGCACGAGAATCACTTGAACCCAGGAGGCAGAGGTTGCAGTGAGCCAAGATTATGCCAGTGCACTCCAGCCTGGGTGACAGAGCAAGACTGTCTCCAAAACAAACAAACTAAAAACATACTCACAAACAAACAAAAACAAACGAACAAACAAAAAACCCCACAACTAGAATGGATGAGGAGTTGCTTCTTATGGATGAAGCAATGAAAGGAGTTTCTTGATATAGAATCTACTCTGGTGATGATACTATGGACATTGTTGAAATGACAATACAAGATTTGGAATGTGACATAAACTGAATTCATGAAGCAGAATCAGGGTTTGAGAGTATTGTTTCCAATATTGAAAGAAGTTTTACTGTGGGTAAATACTATCAAATGGCATCACAGGCTATGGAGAAATTTTCATGAAAGGAAGAGCCAACTGATGCAGTAAACTGCACTGTGGTGTTATTTTAATGAATTACCACAGCCACTCCAACCTTCAGCAGCCATCAGCCCGATCAGTCAGCAGCCATCAAGATCAAGACAAGAATGTCTGCTAGCAAAAAGATGACAACTTGCTGAAGCCTTAGCATTTTTTAGCAATAAAGTTTTTGGGTTTTCTTGAGACAGGGTCTAGCTCTGTTATCCAGGCTGGAGTACAGTGGCATGATCTCAGCTCATTGCAGCCTTGACCTTCCAGGCTTTAGTGATCCTCTCACCTCAGCCTCCTGAGTAGCTGGGACTATAGGCATATGCCACCACATCCAGCTACTTTGGTTTATTTTTTGTAGAGATGGTATCTCACTATGCTGCCTAGGCTGATCTCAAACTCCTAGTCTCAAGCAATCCTCCCTCCTCAGCCTCCCTAAGTATTAGGATTACAGGTGTGAGCCACTGCACCTGGCCAATAACGTGTTTTTAAACTAAGGTATATGTGTTGGTCTCTGCAGACATAATGCTATTACACATTCAATAGATTACAGTATAATATAAACATAACTTTTGTATGCATTGGGAAACCAAAAACTTTGTGCGACTTGCTTTATTGTGATATTTGCATCATTGTTGTGGTCTGGAATCAAATCTGCAATATCTCCGAGGTGTGTTTGTATCTTAAAGTAGTGTTAATGAAGCAGAGATCACTTAGGGTTAAAACAAACTTAGGAGATTTTCTTGGCTTTATGTGTCTACAATGCCAGTGACTTCTCATGCTGGAGTTCCTACCTGACTCAGAGAAAGAACATTTTCCAGGTTGGGTGTGGTGGCTCACACCTGTAATCCCAGCAGTTTGGGAGGCTGAGGCAGGCAGATCACTTGAAGTCATAAGTTTGAGACCACTCTGGCCAATATAGTGAAATTCTGTCTGCTTAAAAATATAAAAATTAACCAGGTGTGGTGGCAGGTTTCTGTAATCCCAGCTACTTGGGAGGCTGAGGCAGGAGAATCCTTTGAACCTGGGAGGGCGAGGTTGTAGTGAGCCAAGATCATGCCACTGCACTCCAGCCTGGGTCACAGCATGAAACTCCATTTCAAAAAAATTAAAAAAACCCCAAACCAAAACATTTCCCAAGACTTTTTACACTCCAGTGGTACCAAATCTTTTTTTAGTGTCTTCCATATTTCACTTCTTCTATTAACATGGCAGCCTGCATTAGAATTAAGCAAACAATAAACCCTGAAATTGCAGTTGGGAAGGTCTCCTATGCTTATTGTAGCCAGAGGTATCATCGCAGCCCTGATTGATGATCTACGATATGGAACAAATAAAGAAGGGTTCCACTTCTGCCATCCCAGGCCAGCACCAAAATTCCCTAAGCACCTACATTTTGTGTATCAGACAAAAATGTATGCCATCTCTATGCTTGCTTACAGGGGACTATAATTAGCTCCTTGAAAACAAGCAGAGGTCCTGTGAAGATGTAATCTAGAAAAGCCCAGCAATTCTGTATTTTGCCTTGAGAAGATAAAATCGGATCCAGAGAATCCAGATATGAAGAGTGGCAGAGGAAGATGAAAAAATGTTCTGTCATTTAAGGTGATCTCCAATTGTGTTTAAGTATTAGGCTTCCTTATAGAGCATCTGGCCCAGAGCTGTCCAATAGAACTTTCTATGGCGATGGGGATGTTCTTTATCTGTGCTGTCCAGTATGGAGACCACTAACCATGTGTGGTTGTTAAGTACTTGAAATGTGACTAGTGCAACTAAAAAACTTAATTTTTCTTTTTATTTTTTTTAGTTTTTGTAGAGATAGGGGGTCTCATTATGCTGCCCAGGCTGTTCTTGAACTCCTGGCGTCAAGCTATCCTCCTATCTCAGCCTCCCAAAGTACTGGACTTATAGGCGTGAGTCACTGCACCTGGCCCATTTTATTTAATTTTAACCAATTAAAACTTTAGTTCTAAAGATAAATCCTAATTAAAGTTTTAATTGATTAGAATTAAATTTTAATAGCACACATAGCTAAAAGTTACTATATTAGACAATGTGGTTACCGGCCCTTGACCCTTTAACTTTTTATACCTTCTAACAATATTTACAAGTTGGGGCTATTATAAAATTGTTCAAAAATTGAAGGCACCAATTTCATTAATCTTAGAGATAAATTTCCTCTGTAAAATTAGATTTGTAATGGGTTAGCAATTCAAGCCTCCGGCTGGGCATGGTGGCTGACACCTGCAATCCCAACACTTTGGGAGGCTGAGGTGGGCAGATGATCTGAGGTCAGAAGTTTGAGATCAGCCTGGCCAACATAGTGAAACCCCATCTCTACTAAAAATACAAAAATTAGCTGGGCGTGGTGATGGGTGCCTGTAATCCCAGCTGCTCCGGAGGCTGAGGCAGGAGAATTGCTCGAATCCAGGAGGTGGAGGCTGTGGTGAGCCAAGATCGCACAATTGCACTCCAGCCTTGGCAACAAGAGTGAAACTCCATCTCAAAAAGAAAAAAAGAAAAAGGAATTTAAGCCTCCTTGTATCAAGGCAAGCTTTTATTGTGAGACTAACTCACAATAAAATTTTTAAAATTTGTATAAATCGTGTGCTTTAGTGGTGATGGTTGCACAACGGTGCGCAAGTTCATGCCCCTGGACTGTACATGTAGAAACGGCTAAAATGATGAGTTCTTTGTTAAATGTGTTTTACCACAGCCAAAAAATTATATGCTTTGGTTTTAAATTTGGCTTGATTGTGATTGACTGGTTAAAATTCCCTCTGCCACAGGCCCTGCTGAGGATCTGGTACTGCATGTTCTTTGGTGAAGTTGACCTGCCTGAGAAGCACAGTCTTGTCCAGAGAAGGAAGCAGCTGGGCTGGTTCATGAGGAGGGATTCCATTGCTCTTCAGCCTGACCTGGGAGCTGCCCCTACCCCAAGATGTGGTTTAACAGATTCTAAGCGTGGTTTTTGCTTTGCTCTGTTTTGTTTTTTAAACCTGATGGCGAATCCTGAGGCCCCCTTTATGGTTCACACCTTCTTAATGCAGGAAGAGTTACAGGAGTGGCTACTTCCTAAAATGGGTGAAGCTCTCCTCTCTGCTGTTACTCTCACCCAGGCCCTTTTAAGCTAACCTGTGAGCCTAGAAGCTCCCGTCAGGTATTTGGCGAGGGACCCCAGAAGTGATATTTAAGATGTATCATTAGTCCTGCAGTGTGATCACTGATGAAAATAATGCTCATAGCTCCCAGCACTGGGGCAGAGTCCTGGAGGCCCCTGTTTATGAATGGTGTGAGGTGTGTCCTGGGGTGTGATGGAGACACTTGGGGTGGGGGAAACTTAGGGAGAGATTACTTCTAGCTGGTAGGAAGGTCTTTCAATACTTAAACATCAGTGTAGCCAAGTTGGTGCTTACAGCTGGAAATCAGTTCTAGAGGAACCCTGGAAAAAAAGCTTTTCTAGATAATGGACTTCTAGAATACAGAGACCAAAGACTGGGAAAAGAAACTATTCCTTTCCTTGGCTGTCATCAACTTTTCCCTCTCTCTGTTCTCCTGCCATCACTCCCTGTCCCACTTCGAAGGGGTTGTGTCAGGGAAAGGTGGAACTCCTCCCTGTTGCCTGTACTTCCACCATCCTAGTGTCACTTATTTGAGTCTTAACTGTTTCATTCTCAATGTCTGTTGGGGCCACAAATTAAACCATGTTAGGTCACATTTTGATGGTCAGTTAATAACTTAATCAGTTACTAAAATACTAGATACCCAAGTAGTAAAAGGTGGGTGAGCATAAGAAACACATTTCTCGTGGCACAGCTCTGCCAAAGCCCTACAGAATCATTTACACATAGGTCTTTCGTTACTAGCCCCTGGCACAGAGTTCTGATCTTAAACAAATAATATCTATAATCAAATAGAACAATGCAATAAAAAAAAAAAAGCACAGGTTTTGAGGCTATGCTGAAATCCTGGCCTTGCTATTGGCAGGCTGTGTGACCTTGGTTCCTTGGTCTCATTATGCTTCAGTTCCTCTGTACATAAAATGGACATAATAATGTCTCCCTCTCATAATTGTGAAGTTGAAATGATGTCTCTAAAGTGCCCAGCACAGTACTTAAGGGCCATTTTTTTCTTCACAATGAAAAGGAGATTTAATAAAAGTGATATTATAAATGCATTTCATTCAACATTTTGTTATAGAAAAAAGGAAGAGACTGATTGCTCTCTGCCAATTTGAACTTCACATATTTTCCCATGATTTGTCTCACAAATGGAGAAGTGTAAAGTTTTATGACTAAATTTTCAGAAATCTATTTCCTGGTTTCTAATTTGAGCCTCCCCAAAGACTGAAGGGATTATACCGCAGATGTAGTCAGTTTAGTGCCAGGTGGACTGGTATTGCAGTCAGGTGGATGGGAATTAGACATAGGTATACTGCTATGAGAGCATTAGGTTAAGCAAACACTGGAATAAATTAATTCTCATTTTTAAATAAAAATTAATTGACACATTTTATTCTGACAGCAGTGCTGTCAGAATAAATGGGTCGATATTCAGGAAAAACCTTAACCTGTCATAAACAGCATATGTGAGTTAAAGACCAAATGCTAATATTATCACTAATTATGTATAGTTTCCTAAGAACAAACTCAATATGTAGTTGTTTAAACTAAAGGGAACATTGCTTCCCAGTCTCATCTATCAACTGCCTGTGGTTGGATAATCTATGCCTCTGCTGCATTATTATCTATTTTATATTGTTTGATTTGAATTGAAATGGCCAACAAATTGGGATTTTTGATTTTTTCTTTTGTTTTTTTGAGACAGGGTCTTATACCGTTTGCCCAGGCTGGACTGCAGTGGCACAATCTCAGCTTACTGCAGCCTCAACCTCCTGGGCTCACGTGATTCCCTCACCTCATCCTCCCAAGTGTATTTTGTAGAGACAGGGTTTCACCATGTTGCCCAGGCTGGTCTTGAACTCCTGGACTCAAGCAATCTACCTGCTTTGGCCTTCCAAAGTTCTGGGATTACAGGCATGAGCCACCGTGCCTGACCCCTGATTTTTTCTCTATTTTTATTCACATGGAAATCTGTAATTTACATTAAAAAATTCATAAAAATCTGCAAATTCCAAGTCAAAACATTAAGATGCCAAAATTGGCACAATGAATGTTTAAAGATGATATTTTAAAGGTAATATTTAATACTGGGGAAGATGTAGTTAGAGACGTTTACACTGTTAATGGTAATGTAAATTGGTATAAACTTCTTAGAAGTGAGCTTGTGAGATATGCAGAAATGTATGTAACTGCCTTACAGGAATTCTAGATCTAGAGATAAATCCTAAGGAAATAGTAAAAGGTACATGTACAAGTATGTTTATTAAAGCATTATTTATAATAGTAAACACTGAAAATAGTGGAAATGTTTGCTATTGGGAATGTTTACATAAACAACGGCATACTCAAATATGGTATTTTAGAAGAACTTTTAGATATGTGGAAAATGTAATCTAATGTAGACAGAATTTGCAGTTAAATTAATTAACAAAACAGATATTACCTACCATATGCTAGGTAGTATCACCAGTGGGGAAAGTAAAATTTATGTGTCTTTAGAGAATTTATATTGTAGTTGGGGAGGGGCAAAGAGACAGACCATAAATAAAAGCCTTAATAAATAAATAAATTATATCATACATTAGAAAATAACAAGTGCTATAGACAAAAGAAATACTAAACAGGACAAGGTCATTAGGAGTTCTAGAATGGGGCAGTACTGTCATTTTAAGTGGAATAATCCAAATTAGGCCTCATTATAAAGGCAATATTAGAGCAAAGACTTGAGGGAGTGAGGCCACTAGCCAGGTAGAGATGTGAAGGAGAGTTTTAGGCAAAAGGAATAGCCAGTAGAAGGGATACCAGGTAGTATAGGTAGCATGATCTCAATGTTGTAAAACGTATATGTACATATTTTGTTTGTATTATATATTTATGAGAAAACCATTTTTAAATTTGTAAAGCTTCCAACATATTTTCATAATCTCTCTAAATCGATCCTGTGATTATTTCCATCATCTTCCCTGAAGGGTAATTATTAAGATTTATTAGTGGTAAATTTTATAAAAGCTAAGTAAGTTTCAGTGCCTGTATTCAGATTATATTTGACGGCAGATTTATAATAAGAAGGGAAGAGAAGCACAGCTTTTCCCCTATATGCCTTTTTCACTGGTACCTACTGACCACTGGTAGAAACCTTAGGTTTTGGAAGAAAGAAGATTACAGTTTGCCAGTTTGGGCAGGTCTGTTTGTCTGTCATTTAGTAGGCTCAAAGCAGGTGCTAATAGCAGAAAAGTAAAGTATTTCAAGGAGGATCGGTGAGTAAGTGATGTGAATAAACAGTTTCTAATATTCCTTCCTCACAGCAGACAGTAGAGTTTAAGACTGTTTACTTAAATGTTAGGTTACCTTAATTGCACCTATTCGTCCTTAAAAAGTTGTCTAGAAAGAAGTAAATCGCTTTCATGTTTTGAAGTAATATCTACTCAAGTAGAATTTCTAACACTTCGTGCGTTAGGGTAGAAATGTTATTCATCTAATTTTTCAATGAATTGGGTTCCTAACAATAGCAATTTCCCCCTTGTTTAAATTTAATTGGCTTTATATATTTTTCTAACATTTTTTGATTATGTCAGCATTTCCCAACATATTTTTCCCTTGCACCAAAACAGAAAAACCTCAATACATTGTGGCTATGTTTATTTTTTTCCTACAAAAATTAAATAGAAATGATTGGCGCTATCAACCGAACAGTATAGTCAACAATCCAGGACAAATTAATTTGCACAGTACCAGAGAGGAAGCAGAATCTATAAGGAAACAGGTTTCTGTTTTGAAGTTCCCAAAGAATATTATAAACAGAAGAGAAAAAGAAGTGAGCTCAGAAATGATTAACACCCATAGTCCGTGCCAAACACACAAAATCTTTTAAGCCAAATTCCTTTTAAAAGTTTGTAGTTGGCCAGCTTGTGGGGAACATAAATAAGGGCAAAGCAGTAATAGCTGATACTTTTAGATCTATAAATAAATACTTTATACATATATATTTAAAACCCTAAACATTTATGGAGTAATTTAAACACTGCTGTCTGATATGTTGTATGAATGGTCTGCATGTATGCATCATTGTTTAAAAATGCGGGTAAAATTCTTTGAACTGTAGTTTCATATGATGCCCTAGGAGTCAGAGATGGAGGTAATTGGTACATCTTGGAATCAGGGGCTTCTGTTTAGTTATTTAAATGGGTTACTGAGCACTTTCCTGCTTACTTCTTTCTACTATAAATAAGAAATGTATCATCAGGCACTTTTCTTGACATTGAATAATCCAGTTTACTCCACATCAAAACTTTATCTGGTCTTTGAAAAATAATTTTTAGTTTTTATAATGAGTCTTGTTTTAAGGAGCCTCTTTTTAAAAATTATCTTCTGAGCTGGCTAGGAAGCCTAGTTGGGATGATGAAAAAGTCTCAATGTATCATTAAGTATGTAACCTATAATTGGACATGAAGGACTTAGACTTTGCCTGAATTCAGGAAGGGCACTGTTGTATTATTGACAAACCTGAGAGCAGGCTAGTCACTTGAGTTTCCCTCTTACCTGTACTGGCTTCATTATGGAGGTTAATTTGTACCCATTCCTGTAATCTCTTATGAATTATTTCTACTCTGAAAGATTCATAGGCAGTAGAATGTGGTTCACAATGCCTTGCAGAGCAAGGAAATGTCATAGCCATTTTGCAGAAAGACAACTAGGCAGAGGCAGTGTCTTATTGGGTTGGAACTTGAATTTGGACCCATGGGAATACTTCCTAGCCTTGTGCTAGGTTCTCACTTTTTTTTTTTTTTCCTGTGGATTCAGCCACATGTACATGAGTCCTGCATTCTTCCCGCCATAGGAGCATTGGACTTAGCAATTATGTTTGAGTACTACGGTTTTAGTCATCAAATGTCCTGTTTCAGCTGTGGTTTCTCTTTAGTGCATGGTCTAAAAAATTTAAAATACCAATATATAATGATAACTAATTGCTTTTAGTATAAAAACTGTTTGTTTTTGAACCTGAGTTCCGAGTCTGGTGGCCTTGCTCTGTTTGTTACTCTGAAGCAAAGTCCACATTTCGGCTAGGGTTTTACCTTATTTTAACCTTCTTCTTTTTATACTCAGCAACCTGCATGGTTCCTGGCACTCACCAGGTTTTCAGTAACAGAGTGTTTAATGAGGGAGTTGAATTGGTTGAAAAGAATCTATTTATTCAAACTGTAATGCAATCCACAAATTTGAAGTTTTCTCTTTAGATATAAAAATGCTAAATATCCTACAACGTCACCCCAGCTTTCTCCTCATGCATGTTTTAATACTGGCCACCAAAGAGGAATGCAATTTATGAATGGAATTTCTGAAGACATCCCTAAGTAATTTTGGACCTCCTAAAGTGAAACTCTTTTCTGTAGAGTTAAAATATATAGAATCTTTTCACCTTTAATTGATTGAAAATGATGGTTACCTGGAACTATTTTTGAGAATAATTTTGATCTAAAGGGAAAAAATACATGTGTTTCTTCTGAGTGCTGCTTTTCCATTTTCCTAATGGGCTCTTCACTATTGTTTTGTCTGAATGCAGTTTTTTATTTGTGTTATTCCAGACATGGTCCTACCACAAGCATCTTTAAACCAGACATTAATAGCATAGTTCACAGTCATTACTGCCAGTGCTCAAACACAAATATTGCATTTGTGTTTGCAAAAGCTACACATCAGATGTTAATTAAGTGCATTTGGTTTTTTCTTTCTGCTTAAACAATCTGGCATAAAGAATTTACATCCATATCAGTTCACCATAAGGTCTCAACAATATCTAAATCACCAGCCGTACAGTATATGATAAATACAGTGTTTCCACACAGGAAAATAACAGAATTGTCAGGAAAACATCAGGCCTGCTATATTTCTCTGTGAAATGATAGCAATGGAATCTCAGTTTCTTTTTCTCTTTGATAAAAAGTATTTAGGAGTAAACACCAATATTCAGAATGATAAATTTTTCATTAAAGAATACATGGAAAGCGAAATCATACCAAAGATTTTTTTCCTTGTTTTTAGCTTGCTTCAGGGCGTTGTGACAGTTGTGTTGGAATAAAATTGGAATTTCAGCCTTGCAGTGAGGGGATTCGTGCTGCCACCAGAGCAGCTGAGTGCCAATCTGCGGGAGGCGGGAGTGGAGCGAAACCGCAAACTGAGAAACAAACTTTCACATCAGGTTTCTAATTTTAGAGCAAAAAGTGGAATTACTTTAATTATATGACATTTAACTAGAAATACGATTTGCTGGGATTAATTATCTCTCTCATTTAAGATACCTTCTTAGTAGGTTTAAATTAACATAAAAAATCAAATCCAGCATTTAAATAAGGTCAATGGGACTGCTGGATTTAAACACAGAATTTGATTCAGTATAATTGGATCACTGTATTGGTTTTGACTTGGAAGGATTAAATGGAGGAAATTGGAAAGTGTGAATTTGGGCAAGAAGAGAAATTTTCTCTTCTTTCTTTCTTCTTTCTCCCCAAGGGAGAGAAGTTTCCCACCTTGGATAGGAAACTACTGCCCTGATTAGGTCAGAAACATCTCAGATTCATTAACTGTCTCTGTTTATTCACTACTTTAATAAGAAATAGTAATAAAACAAAAATATTGTGTAACTAAAGCTTACTAGAAGTATTTAAATTACATATAACAAGGGCCTATTTGAAAAATGATTATTCTGTGTTAACTGATTACGTCTTATTTTATTTAAAAGCATATAAAATTTATTTCTGATATTTAATTTTATTTTATTAGGAAAAAATTAACTATGCTTTTGAAGGAATTTTAAAAATAGGAGTTTCATTTTAATCAAGTACGTCAGTGTTGGGACACTGAACCATATACGTGTAGTATTCTTTATTGACCTCTTGTCCTTAGGGCTTCACATCTAAACTTACTTTATCTTTAATAATTTAAATCAGGCAGTGAATTCATTTATAGCAAGAATGATCAACATTGGAAATTCTACTAACAAGGGGAAGTTATTAGGCATGTGATAGTAAAGGTTACCTTGGAATTTGCTGGGTGAGGGATTCAGGAAAAGTCCCAGGGCTGCAGGGATGGAATGACCTATGTCCTGGGGAGAGCCCCAGGTCCATATGTAGGAACTTCCTTTGAAAGAGCTTACTCCCCCTGGCTGATGAATTGCATGTGAATATCTGAATGTAACTGGGCATATCAAAGGTATTGGACAGCAAAGCATAATAATGAAGCACTAAGGGCCTGGTAAGGATTTTGAATAGTTGTGCTGATGTAATCCCCAGTATTATATACTCTTCAGCAAAACCTGAATGTAATCCAAATATTTGTTGGAACGATGGTAAAGATATTACCATTCCTTGAGTCAAAATAGGATATGTACACTAGATTTTAGGACATAAGACTGTTTGTAACATTACTTGTTGTGGGGTAGATGAGAGAAAAATGTTTGGATATTTTCTGTTAATGAATGGCAACATTCGCATTGACAAAAAATTCTAGTTGTACTCTGAAATGTTAAAACTGATACAATTCTCAAAGATATTTAGGGTAAGTGATTGGGACATGAGATGATGAGAGAGAGATGTATTGACTGTTAGGAAATTTAATTTTTATGAAATCAGCATATCAGGAAATACTGTAATCTGATTCATTCCTGCAGAATTCCCAGTAGGAAGAGGCCCAGCCTCGGGAGTTGAAATGTTTCATTATGTACATGTGTGGGAAAAAGATGAAATGTGGTTTCCGTGTGCTGATTTTCTGTAAAACATCTATTAGTATGAGAGTAGCCAGGCTAGGCAACAAAGCCCCCAAACCATCGTGGTCTAGGGAAAAGTGAACCCAGAAGGCACTTCGCTGATGGATACTGACATCAGGAGCAATAAGTTTGAAAGCAGCAAGAAAAAGCAATGACAGGGAAATAATGTTGAAATAGTAGCTAAGGAATGATCACATGTTGAAGATGAGGTCAGCCCTTTATCCCCCATCAATCCCTGCTTAACTTTGCTTTTAGAAATGTAAGGTTCCCCCAAAATGAGGCAACTGCAAATGTAAGCTTTTTATACCAATGCTAATTTAACCAAGTTGTCCATCTTATAATGTAAACTATAATTAGAGCCATATTATTTATGTAATGTGAGCTGCACTGTCCCCAAAGCAGGGAAAAGCAGGACATTTGCTTCTGAGCTCTAGAGTAACAGGGCTCTAGAGTGACAATGGCTGTCTCAGGCTCTTGTGAAGCTGGGGATGGAAGAAAGAGGTGCCTCCAACAAGATGTACAAAGAGAAAGGACTGTTTGTAAGTAGGTGGGAGGGGACTCTGGTGTCTTGTTTGTCTCCAAACCGTGCCAAACTCACATTATCAGAAAACACATGAGTCCCTTTGCTCTTCCCAGTTCCAAGGCTGTTTGTTAGTTTTTAGTGACCTCTTTCCCTAATCAAGATTGGTTTTGAGATTCATTTTAATCTAATATTAACCTAATTCAATAATGACAGGTGTTTGTTTGGGGGAGAGGGAGTGGTGGGTACAGAGATATGATTTACTCTTGTCTCTGAGATTCTTAGGCCTGGCACTGAATTCCAACCCCCATGGAGATGGCCTAGGAAATGAATGAAGGTCCAAGGCCTATTGTTGCTGATGACACTTAGTTCTTAACTGTGCTTTTCTTTCTCTGTTGGTATTTTGGAAAGTTTGAGCTCTTTTAGGGAAAAAAAAACAACCCTTCAGATACTTTTAGAGTAGAAAAAGTTATATGATTATAGCCTAAATACTTCTGTTATGAAAAAAAATTATCTTTAGAAAATTCTGGAGTCAATAATGAGGAATATTTGTATTGTTTTTAAATAAAACCAAGTAAAGGAAATGCCTCCGATTAAAACTGGCTGACGAATAGAATCTTCAAAACAAGGCTTTTGTTCTGGCTGATTAACATGCTTTTCTAATGATTTAGGTGTTGGTACCAGCCCATATGTGATGAACTGCAACATTACCATAGATTCTCAAGACATGTGCGGGAAGAGAGATCGCTAGTGCCATTTCGGACTCAAATGCAAAGGGACTGAAGGCTGTCCAAGCGATGGCTTTTCCCCACAAGGGAAAGATTGAAATAGCCAGCAATGTGGAGAGTTTTGAGGATTAAGAAGCTGCAGAAATCTCAGAAGTTCTGATATATGTCTTACAGTGTCCTTGGTGACCAGTTTTCTTATGTGTCTCCTCATTACATAGAAGTCCAAGTTAAAAAGTTGGCAAGCGACCATGGAATTGGTACTAAAGGGAGAGTATTAGTTGGATTTACACCCCAAGAATGCAAGAACTGTGCTGAATATACTATAAAGGAAAATATTGGGGAATTCTGGAAGATTTGGGGAGGTGTTTTCATGTGATCCAATCTTAGCCTTCACTGAAATTTTAAGGAAAATTATTAGTCATTACAAAATTTTCTTTTGGGCAGTGACAATATGGAGAAACTACAAAGAACGTAGTTGCAGCCATGTTTTGAAAAAGTGGAAGCATTCTTTTTTTTTTTTTTTTGAGACGGAGTTTTGCTGGTTACCCAGACTGGAGTGCAATGGCGCGATCTCGGCTCACCACCACCTCCGCCTCCTGGGTTCAGGCAATTCTCCTGCCTCAGCCTCCTGAGTAGCTGAGATTACAGGCACGCGCCACCATGCCCAGCTAATTTTTAGTAGAGACGGGGTTTCACCATGTTGACCAGGTTGGTCTCGATCTCTTGACCTCGTGATCCACCCGCCTAGGCCTCCCAAAGTGCTGGGATGGAAGCATTCTTTGCTCAACAACAACAAATGTTCGTAGGTTATCTGTAATTGCCTTATATTTCCAGTCATCCTTACAGCAGAGAGAATCTACTTTATATTATGTGCTAGTAACCTGGGAGAATTAGAAGCTCTTCTGAATCAGCTGGGTAAATGGCCATGGTTTCTGAACCATCTTTCATTATTATGAGAAAAAAAGAAAAAATGGACTTGATTGGATTTTCCTGAATGAACTCTATAGTTCCATATTCAACTCTCATTTTTTGAGCAATTACTACTTTATTGTTTTTGCTTATTTTTTTGAGACAGGGTCTCACTCTGTCACCCAAGCTGGTGTGCAGTGGTGCAATCATGGATCACTGCAGCCTGTAACTCCTGGGCTTAGGCAGTCCTCCCACCTTAGCTTCCCAAGTAGCTGGGACTACAGGCACACACCACCATGCCCAGCTAAGCTGTGTATTTTTTGTAGAGACATGATTTGACTGTGTTGCTTGGGCTGGTCTCGAACTCCTGGCTAATCATTTTTTAATATGTGCATTAAAAAAAAATCAAGACTGGCTACAGTGGTTCACACCCATAATCTCAACACTTGGGAAGCCAAGGCGGGCAGATCACTTGAGCCTAGCAGTTTGAGACCAAACTCAAACGGGGCAACATGGCAAAACCCCATCTCTACAATAACTACAAAAATTAGCCAGGCATGGGTGTGCACACCTGTAGTAGCTACTTGGAAGAGTGAGGTTGGGGGATGACCTGAGCCTGGGAGGTCAAGGCCAGATCATTCAGTGAGCCATGATTGTGCCACTGCACTCTAGCCTAGGCAACAGAATGAGACTCTATCTCAGAAAAAAAAAAAAAAAAGGTACTAAGTGACTAAAAAATCAGAGGGTTATAAAATCTCTCTTTCAAAGCCTGATTGTTCATTCTTGCCTTGCTACTTTTAGGATGATCTGCTGTTCATAAACCAGATACAGAATTTTGAAATGTTTATATAGGGAGATGGCATGAGGGTGTTGGGCATGACTTCAAGGAAGTACTTATTCTTTTGGAATTTAGATGGAAAGTCTAAAGATTTAGAGAATATATTGTTTTTGAGCAAAGAGAAGGACATTGGTAGAACTTTTATCTGAAACAAATTAAAATTTGTAGCCTTTTTGTGAACTAAAAGAAGCTGTCAATGATGGCAATTTTAATTAAATCCTTAGTATTTACATTGTTCTAGTATCAGATGCTTTCCATAAAGCACAGAGAAATGAATTTTTCCACAAATTGTGTTTAGCAAGAAAGACTATGATCTTCTTTAATAAGAGCACAAAATGTGAATTTATTTTAAGGAATTAAAAATAAAGAGTTTGGCTGGGTGTGGTGGCTCATGCCTATAATCCCAGCACTGGGAGGCCAAGGCAAGGGGATCACTTGAACCCAGGAGTTTGAGATCAGCTTGGTCAATGTGACGCTGTCTCTATTAAAAAAAAAAAAAAAGTTTTGTTAAAAAAAGGTTGAACTCAATCTTTTTAAAGGATCCAGTGATCTAATATATATATATTTTTACTTATATTTGATTCTTGAATCTGATTGCATTTATATTATTCTGGAATTCCAATTCTGTGTATGTTTTCTGTCAATATGGTTACAAAAAAGATGGAAAAGATGATGGACTAGGTATGGTTTTTAGATGTAAGGAATTTTAGTTGCTCTGGTGAAGAGAGAAAATGTTGTTCAGCTAGAGCTGATGGGTCGGTCTCTCAGTCTCTGAGATCTGGGAAGCAGCAGTGCCTAGATCTTGCCCTGCTTTGGCAGAGGCTGCGTGGCCTGGTAGAAAGAACACCAGGCAGTGGATTGGAGGGCTTGAGTTCAGTCCTTGCTCTTATTTTTTACGTAGCCGTAACTTCATTAGCTATGAAATAGGAAAAATTATTCCCACCCTATCTGGGGGAATAAATATCTATAAGCTGTAGTGTAAAAAATGAAATGTATTATTAATAGTTTTTCCGGATCTATTCTAGAGCTTTGCTTCAGTTTTGAGCATTAGTATGAAATAGAGGAGAGGGGAATATAAGCACATGGTGCTGCTGATTCATATTGGCTTGTAGGAGGGGTTGATTCATTTGCCAGTTACCTGAACTAACCTCTCCAGGTTCCTGTCACTGCATTACAGGCTGCTAGTTTTGAGCAAGGCCTATTTAAAACCAAACATCCCCTTAATGTGTATAGTGTTTCAGTTTGTGAAGATTAAAAAAATTCTGGAGATGGATGGTGGTGATTGGTTGCACAACAGTGTGAATGTACTTAATTCCACTGAATTATACACTTAAAAATGGTTAAAGTAATAAATTGTATGTTATGTATATTATGCTTTATAATTTAAAAAGAACAAAAAGTATGTATTTATTCCATAAAAGTTAAGAAAAAAAATACAAAAATCCCCTCATATCTGAATAAGATAACTTTACTAAGTCCATTATATTAGTCCATTCTTGTATTGCTATAAAGAAATACCGGAGACTGGGTAATTTACAAAGAAAAGAGATGTAATTGGCACATAGTTCTGCAGGCTGTACAGGAAGCACAGTCATGGTGGAAGGTGGAACAGTTATGTCACATGGCCAGAGAAGGAACAAGAGAGCCTGGTGGGGAGGTGCTACATACTTTTAAACAACCAGATCTCACGAGAACTCACTTACTCTCATGAGGAGAGGATGGTTCTAAACTAGTCATAAGAAATGTACCCCCGTGATTCAATCACCTTTCACCTGGCCCCAGGTCCAACATTGGGTATTACAACTGAACATGAGATATGGGTGGAGACAATGATCCAAACCAGATTATCCATATGTTCAAAATAAAATGTTGGCAAATTTCTAATATCTATTAATGGATATAAATAGGACCTATTTTCCCCTTTTAAAATCTATTATGATAGACTCTGGTGCTCCAGCTGAGGTTTAGTTAATGGTTTAAAATAAAGTTGATTTAATGTGGCCTTTGATCCAGCTATCTATTTAAAAATAATAATTTACCATGTTTATCATAAATAAATAATTCTTTTTTCTTTTTTTGAGATAGAGTCTCATTCTGTCACCCAGGCTGGAGTGCAGTAGTGCAATCTGAGCTCACTGCAACCTCCACCTCCCAGGTTCAAGGGATTTTCCTGCCTCAGCCTCCTGAGTTGCTGGGATTACAGGTGCACATCACCACACTCAGCTAATTTTTTCTTTTTTTTGGTAGAAACAGAATTTCACCATGTTGCCTGGGCTGGTTTTGAACTCCTGAGCTCAGGTGATTTGCCCACCTTGGCCTCCCAAAGTGCTGGGATTACAGGTATAAACCACTACACCTGGCCAATGAATAGTTTTTAAAATAAGCACAGACACACCTCTTACTTCTCATTCATATTTGAATTTGCCTTTTCTTTCTGTGTTTCCCTTCTGCCTTTTAGAAAATCAGAACCAGCTGTAAATTGCTGAAGGTGTTCTGGTGGATGGGTACAGTATCATCGGCTCTTCCTCTGCAGGAACTGGCAGAAGCCACTGGGATGCATCTATAATAACTAAGAAGGATGATCCCATTGGCTTTAGAAAACCTGACAAAATGAACTAACAAATACCCCGACTCATATGCATCTTTTCTCATATTGGCCTCTTAGAAGCAGACCCACAGTTTGTGCCAATGTTATGTCAGTATTTGTTTTTTAAATCTTACCACAAGGTGGACATTGTATGGAATATGGCTTCATAGCTCATATTTACCCTTGGTCCTTTTACCAACAATGAAGAGGCCAAAATTTATGTGAACAAGTAGACTACTTTCTATCAACCCCTTTGTGTTTTTATTCTGCCCAACTTTAAACTTTAACTTTTAGTTTCTTAAAAGAGGGATAAGGAAAGCAACAAGCTTAGGCTTTGAGGTGATAAGGTTTTGTGTATGGAGTGGTGGGGAGAGTGGGGGTTGTCCTTGATTTCCAGCCTAAATTGGGGTTTGACTCACGATAAATTAAAACTATTTAAACATTGGGAGAGGGGAGTAAGTAAAATATAACTGTGAAATAAAACAAAAGGGGGGTAATATTTTTATTTCTTGACATAATGAAAAGCCTTGCTCTGTAATTGGTTTGTACTGTCTTGGAAGTGGCGTCCGTGGTCAACAAAGGACCACTCTGTGCGAGATCTGCAAGGAATTTATCATTCCCCCTGGCTGAGCCAAAGCAGGCTTGATATACAGTTTTGTTTCGTATAAATATTCTCATGTTACTGTTTACTCTGTGGGAATATGAGGATCTCACTGACAGGGTACGTGCTCCACTGCCTTGCTTTTAAAGGCATTTATTTGACTCTGTTGTTTGTACTTGCCCAGAAACTTCAGAGAACAGCCCAGGAACTTGTTTGATAAGCATCCAGACCATGCTCCCGGAGTATGTTGTGCTTGGGAGGTTAGGAAAGCTTATTGTTTTAAGCGAGCCTGCACATGGCCTCCAAAGAGCCCATTTTTCATAGATAAAACAATTAGGACACCCTCAACAATCTCTTAGAATACTTCTGCAATGTGCAAGAAAATGTCGTGGTGGGTAGGGCTCTGGTTGAACTCGGACTGCCTTTGGATTACTCTGCCACTTCTTTTGTTCCTGTTCTCAGTATAATGTATCGTGAATTAAGATGTGAATTTAGATACAGACCTAAACATGGAACTAATTTCTTTCCACACTTTTAGTGTGAGTGTTGACTTATTACCTCTCAGCTCCACATTCACCCTTCCATATGCTTTTTTTTTCAAGGTAAGGTCTTGCTTTATCACCCAGGCTGGAGTGCAGTGATCATGGCTTGCTGCAGGCCCAAGTGATCCTCCACCTCAAACACCCAAGTAGCTGGGACTGCAGGTGCACATCACTACACTTGACTAATTATTTTTATTTTATTTTATTTTTTTAAGACAGAGTTTCACTCTTTGTTGCCCAGGCTGGAGTGCAGTGGTACGATCTCGGCTTACTGTAACCTCCACCTCCCGGATTCAAGCAATTCTCCTGCCTCAGCCTCCTAAGTAGCTGGGATTACAGGCACACGCCACCATACCCAGTTAATTTTTTTGTATTTTTAGTAGAGACAGTGTTTCACCATGTTGGTCAGGCTGATCTCAAACTCCTGACCTCAAATGATCTGCCCACCTCGGCCTCCCAAAGTGCTGGGATTACAGGGATGAGCCATCGATGGTGCCCAGCCACTTTTTAAAATTTTTATGTTTAGTAGACACAGGGTTTTGCTGTGTTGCCCAGCTGGTCTTGAACTGAGTTCAAGCAGTCCTCCTGCCTTGGCCTCCCAAAGTGCTGGGATTACAAGCATGAACCACTGTACATGGCCCCATTCTCTGCTTTCTGATACTGGGACTCTGTAAACCACATTTCTTCTTTGCCAGTCAGTTCCCAATTAGGCTCTGCCAATATGGGGTGCTGGACTGGGGAGGCTGCAGGGGTGGAGGATGGTGAGGGATTGCTTCTCCCTCTTGACCTCCTGTTTCTAGCAGCCCCACCTCAGCAGTGACTCTTCACCTTGATGGTGGCTGTTAGTTCCAGGCTCCAGCTGTTCTTCCTCCCTTGCCCCCTGCTGACACTTCTCAGAGCTTGCCCCATTGTACTCTTCAGAAGCCCCAGCAGCTGGGCAGTGCCACCTTCTCAGATGCCTGAGCCCCAGCTCTGCAGGGCTTCTCCTTTTAGCTTCTAGGCTCTGAGAACCCCTGCCTTAGTGAGTGGTGCTTCCTGCAGTTACAGCTCTGTGATCTCATGTTCTCTGTTTTGCTTTTAAAGTTCAACAACTGTTGACAATTTTTTTGTGTGATCTCTTTTGAAATACTTAGTGTGGTTTCTGTTTTCCTGATTGGGTTTGGACTGGATTCTGTCAGAAACAAACCAATCAGCAGACCAAATGCCACTGGGGGAAATGGAGAGGGAAAGGAGAAGGCAGAAAAAATTCATTGTGAACGTAGCTCCTTACATAAACAGCCCACACATGGTTACTCTCCTTTTCTTCTTGTTCACACGTTATTCTCTTATCTCACTGTCTTCTTATTGTAAAATTTGCAGTTCCCCTTGGCATTCTTGCTGTTTTTTCCACGAGTAGGGAGTCTGAGTGTTGACTTGAGGTGCGGGATGGGAAATGCCATGGAAAGCCATTGGGCCAAGTTTTCCAAAGAATGTCTTTTGTGTAGTAGCTGATTCTATCATTTAAAATGTAAACTAATGTAATGTAATAATTTAAAAAAGTAAAGTCTTTTCGATCTTATAATAGTTATTTGTCTTTTCTTGTAAAGCCATCTTTACCTGCCATGTAGATGACGATGCTTTTCATCTGGCAGTAGGCCCCCAGCCAAACACCTTTCCCAAACCTCTGGGTACCATGCTCTCAACTTTTTCTCAGAAAGCCCCATCTGCAGCCAGTCAGTTTCCTAACTTCTTAGGTCCCTGTATCTCCACGAAAACTAACTGCTTTGGAAAAAGTAAGAATGTGGTTGCAGTTTAGCAAGGACCCATTGTTACAAAACTATATTGTTTCTAGTAAGGATAAAGGATTTTTGGTAACTGATTAATAATAATCTGTGTCTATCCCAAATTCTTTTTAGTAGTTCATCTTCATGATATTCACTCTATTATTTCACAAACATAAAAGGAAGATAAAATAGCAAGATATAGGAAGAGTCTTGAGTGAACCCTTTGGCATCATTATTTGTAGCTGTCTTTTACTGAGTATCAAGTAAGTGTTAGTTATTACATGATTTTCCCTCTGACATATGTGACTAAAGTAATAAAATTCCCTAAGTTCTCTTAGCCTATTGGGTCAACCAGGAACCTCCTCCTACCCTATCCCATCCCTGTAGGTTTATACCACTGCCCTAACCCTAAACAATACCCCTTGGGCTGGGTATGGTGGCTCATACTTGTAATCCCAGCAATCTGGGAGGCTGAGGTGAGAAGATCACTTGAGCTCAGGAATTCAAGATCAGCCTGGGCAACATCGTGAGCCTTTGTCTCTATCAAAAATAAAAAATTAGCCAGGAGTGGTGATACACACTTGTAGTCCCAACTACTCAGGAGGCTGAGGAGCAAGGATCACTTGAGTCTGAGAGATCAAGGTTGCAGTGAGTCATAATTGTGCCATTCTAGCCGTGGTGACAGAGTGAGACCCTATCTCAAAAAACAAACAAAACACAGCAGCAATAACCTTGGACCCACATCCTCAGGTCTCCAGGTATCTCCTCCTAGACCTGATTGGCTTCACCTCTAGTTTGTTGTGTTCTAGTTAGAGATTGTACATCCAGTTAGTTGACCCACCCTTCTGTGGCAGTTTTATAAGACGGTCCATGCAGGATCCTGAGACTTCCTCCAGATCTTAGGCCTCTCTCCAGTGCTTCTGTACTCTTTCCTCATTTAAAATTTCTTCTAGAACTTTTTTTTTGAGACAATCTTGCTCTTCATGTAGGCTAGAGTACAGTGGTATGATCGTGGCTCACTATAGCCTCAATCTCCCAGGCTGAAAAGATCCTTGTGCCTCAGCCTCCTGAGTAGCTGGGGTTACAGGTGCACCACCACAGCTGACTAATTTTATATTTATATTTTTAGTAGGGATGAAGTCTTGAGATGTTGCCTAGGCTGGTCTTGAATTCCTGAGCTAAGTGGTTCTCCTACCTCGGCCTCCCAAATGCTGTCTTTTACTCTGTTATCATATTTTGAGTGCTTGCCCACTTATTCCTTTTTGTACCTGAAAGACCTATTAGCTTCTAGTTTGGTGACTATATATATATATATATATATATAGTATTTTTGATAGCGATAGTGTTATCATGTTGCCCAAGCTGGTCTTGAACTCCTGAACTCAAGAAATCTGCCCGTTTGGGCCTCCCAAAGTGCTGGGATTACAGGTGTGAGCCACTGCACCTGGCAGGGACCCATATTTTTATTTTGTACTGGGCCCCATGAGTTATATGGCTGGTTCTGGGAGTTTATCTGGGTTCGGGACATTTTTGGACCCAGATAAAGGGGAAGTTGAGTTGGGAATATTCGTGTGGTTCCTAGTCACATCCATGTGTAACCAGCTCTTCCAGTGAAGGAACAGTTCCCAGGAGGAGTACTCTTGCCCTCTGTGATGGCTCCCTCAGTGCTGTGACTCACAAAGGCCCCAGAGGGCCATCACAGATGAGTGTGTCCCCTGGTGCTCAGCATCAGAAGTACATAAGAACTAGAGGAGAAACAAAGGTAAAGAGGTATGGAGCCAGAAGCTAATCTGTACAAAATCTTTCTAGTTACTGGCAGCATAAGGTTGTAAACAAACGATGTGGCGTTTAATAATGTTTATCCAGTACAGAAGCTATACTGCAGTTAGGTATATGTTGATGTAGTATATACAATTATAAGGATACCAGATTATTTCATTTTTATGATAATCATAGGAAGCAGAATTGATCAGAATTTCTGTTTCTGGAGGAGCAAATCTGTGGTATAACTATAAAGAGCAAGTGTGTCCCGTGGGAAGTCGCATGTTGGGAAAGTTGTATCCCAAACATTAATGATTAGAAACACATTTCTATCAACCATTCCAAAAAAAGAATGTATTTGTTTTATATTTGTTTATATAAAATGACAGATTAGTATCATTTGCATAGGTGACAAAAGAGTATGTAGCATGTACAGATAATAAGAATATGTTATTTTTCTGGAATTCACAATAATTATAGTATTTCTGTATAGTGTTTAAAAATGTATAGTTTGTTGTAATTTATTTTCTCATTCTAAATTCACTTACAAGCCTATTTCTGGGTTATTTTTAAACGCGATACTCAAAATAGTGTAAGCTTTAGGCTTTGCAGAACCTGGAGCTGGCCTTGTGCTGAGCCCGTGCCACGTCGTTACTTTAGCTCTCACAACACCCCTCTGAGATGTTGCAGTGATACTATTCCCACCCTACAGGCACAGAAGCGGAGGCTCAGAGAGGTTAAGTAACTTCATTGAGGTCATATATCTCATAAGTTGCAGGACTGGGTTTCTGTATAGGTTTGTCCTTTTTGAAGTCGATTCTTTTACCCTTTGCTCTCCAGTTCCTAGAGCAACAATGTCATTTCCTCAGAAAAGTCTCTTGAGAGCTCCAGGGTAGGTTATATGCTCAGTTATGCCTGTCCTTTCTTTCCTACCTCACATCACAATTAATTACTAAAGCGATTATACTGTGATTATTATATAATCACAGTGTATTATTACACTGTGATTAGAAAGTGATTATCCAGTAACCTCCATGGAGGAAGCTGTCTGTTTTACCTACAGCGTGGAGACTCTGTGTATTCAGTGAATAATACCTTTAGGTTGACTAATTTTTGGAGGCACCTTAGAGCAGCTTCTTGCTTCAAGCACTTTCTTTCTCACCTTTTCTTCTTCTCAGCAAAGGAAGGATGTGGGAATGGCAAAACATTCAGGCTCAGAAGTAACACCCAAGAGCATCAGGGTTATCCAGTTGATAACGTAGGGATGTTATCATTTATACAGTCATACCTTCATATGGATTGCCTGGTACCAATTTCAGGTACCAGATATCCATGGGGGTGGGACATTCATGCCTAAAGGGCATCTGTTTCATAGTTTTATATTTTTGTAAACTGAGTCATCTTAAAATGGGAGAGCACCTGTATTCAATTTTCTCTGGAATGAGCTGCTAAATTCTCTTTTACTCTAACTTCAGATGAGGTTTTCTGGATGACACCATCTGGGAAATGTCACTTTGATTAAAGTAAATATGCAGCATAGTTAACACTGGGAGCCTATTTGAATTTCTCTAAGTCACATCTACAGAAGCAGAAGGCAGCCGGCTCTCTGGGCTGGGAGAACTTGAGAGAGATGCGTTCCACAGTTTGGTGTCAGTCGAGTGGCAGTGTGCGGCCAACTAAGCTCTGAAGGATTTTGTGTATTTTCCTTTTCTTACCATTGGACTATGTTTTTTTCTTTTCCAGTTTATTTTGACACAAAGAAGAAAATATATAAAAATAAAAAACCCAGCTTTATGATTGCCAAGTTTTTCTTTCAAACTAAGAAAAGAAACCAGTTGTTGAAAAATATGATGAATGGCATCCTTTGTTTTATTTTCACATGAGGGCACTGCCATTGGAATGGGGCCAAATTCCCCAAGCAGGAGGGAACCTTGGACTGAAAGGCGGCCTAGTGATTTTGGAGGCTGGTGTGTCAGAATTTCCTCTCAGCTGTTACAAATATCTCTCTTTTTTCCACAAGATTTCCTCACAGACTCACCCCCTCCCATCCTTCAGGCATTCCTTGTGTTTTCAACACTTGCTACTGATGAGGATGTCATCTATTTGTAAGAAAACGCCATTGGTACAATGTGGGGCTTTCAGCATTTACGTTGTGGTTTTCCCGACTTCCACAGCTGCTGACTTGTTTGGCTATGGGATTGTGTATGGTTGAGGGCAACAGTCAGTAGTTAATGTGTAAGCAATCCGTAAGATTGTTAGCATTATTCTCCTTATTGTTGTCTTGTCACCAAGTGGTTTGGGAGAACCAACGGAGGGAGAGTCTAAGTTTCCTGTTCTGAAAGTCAACCTCAGGGCAGTTCCCTTTTGATCTCTGTCTGCCACTCACACAGTGAAATGAAGAGGAAGGTATGGATGAGAAAAGTCATGCTACTCTTTCAAGGAAGTGAAGCCAATGTCTCAGATGCATTGAGATCATCCACATGCGTCCCAAGAAGTGAAATCTGAAGTTGCTCTGAGGACATAGGAGAACTATACCTCCACAAACCTGTAGCACTTTTCCAATTTGGAAGCTCCTTCTGAAAACTTTATGCACTTTGGCTGGGGTATTTAATTCATTTATTCTCTAAATTTTGTTTGCAAGTGTATTTTGCTCTCTAGACTGTGAGATCTTTGAGGACAGGGCTGTTTTATTCCACTTGGTCATTCCAATACCTGGTCTCAGAAAATCTTTCCTAAATAACTTAATGTACCAATAGTTGAATTCTAAGCCCTGGAGTAGAGTCAGAAATAGACAACCCTCTAGGTATAGATGGTTTAATCATTTATTGACCAGCTTCAGGTTTTGTTGCATGAAGTTGAGTTACATTTATGAGGTACAGTTAAAGGAAATAGATGTTTAGAGCTTTTAGGGAATAGAAAGTCTGGCTCAACTTATGTATGAGGCTGGGGAAAGAGGGTAGAGACACCAGAATTTCTCATAAAGACAAACATAAAATGACTCAAGAATGCAAACACCTGACTTATTTCCTGTGGAAACGCCAGTGAGAAAAAGTGTCAGTTGGAACTCCTCACGCCTCTTCCTGTTGTCATTACTCTGAAATTCAGGCTGTCTTTTAAATGCCCCATGATCTACTTGTAAACTCTTTAAGCAAAAACGATGCCAGGTTCTGTTCTGTGGCTACCAGATTGGAGCTTTTCTCTCCCGGCTTCATTCAGTTAATTGAGCTATGCTAGAAGGTTCAGTAATTTATTCTGTGGAGTCTTTCCGTGCAAACAATTCCAGGCTGAGGGAAAGAGACTTAGCTGAATCTTTCAAATACTTGAAATGCAGAATTTATGTTTTGGAAAACACCAGTGAGTCAGTGTCCTCAAATGTAATCAATAAAAGACAGTCTCCATCATCAGCTTTTCATTAACTGAGCTTCAAGTGCCTCCTTTTATTGCTTTTTACATGTTTACAGTATCTCATTCTTTCCTTGACTCTGGATTTTCACACCATATGGCCACATCTTTAAGTCATTTTTCAGCTGCTCTATTAAATAGTAAAATGAGATTCAGAACAGATTTCTTTGATTTTAAAATAGCATTTTGGGGTGTGGACTTTTTTGTAAATAAAAAAAGAATTAAGGCACTCAAAAGCATGAAATTTCAGGTATTTCTACCCAGACAGTGTAATATGTAGCTTTCTGCTTACTTAGAATAAATATATGTTTATCTCGTGGAATTTCACCTGCTGCATAAATGGATTCATTTATTCTGCATATTGAAATTCATTTCTACTTAAATAAGATTTAGCCTTCACTGTTGCTAATGAACATAGATTGAAAATGGAATTGAAAGTGTATCTTTAAAACAATTCAATATTATACTGTATTTCTCATTAGAAATGATTGCTGTTGCTTATAAGCATCCATATTGCATATCAATAATACTCTATTGCTGTCATTGTGGTGGTGATTCTACTATTTGGGATTCTTTTATATTTTACTTTTTTTTCTGGGTTATTTAGTGGTCATTTCCTTGAGAAGTTGCAAAGGAGAGATTGTGACTGCCAACATTTGGATCTCACCGTTTAGAGTTGGTCAATGAAGGCTTAAGGCATATAGTCCTACAGCGTAACACAGTTCACTTTGTAAAGGGTTAGACATATTTAAAAGACAATTAAATATTTATTCCTTGTTTTCTGAGCCAGAAAGGACACTTTGGCGTAGGTTGAATGGGACTTTTTTAAAGGATACTACTTAACAAAAGGAAACCACTGCAGGAGCAAATTTTGTAATATGAGTAAATTTGCCATTGATCCAGACTTTAGCAGCAGGGACTGTGTCGGTCACAGTTAATCAGCTTATGAGTATATGATTCGGAATCTTCAATTATCCTTTAAAATCTGGACATCGACTTGAAAAAACGACTGACCTACAGTGGATTGTTTAATGTTAAAACCAAGTGCACTCAACATCTGAAGGTCAATAGTCTCTTAATTGTAATTCAATAAAGTCAATTTAAAGTGGTATACAATTTGTGAATGTTATAAACACGGTTCACATATTTTTTACTTCAGTGGCAGTATTATTTGCTAGAGAAACATGCTTCAGTTGAGGATAAGTCCATTGGATGTTTTTATTTTAATGACCATCAATATTTTAAAGTTCATTACTTAGTATGATACATAGGAAGATAGCAATTAAGAGAAACTACTCAAAATAACTCAGGTAAAATTCTGCTTTTACTTGAATTACTTTGGCATTATTCATTGTTTTATTGTCACCATGATGAACTTGCACAAAATTTTTAAGCAACAGTAACAAAAAAGTAAAACCTTGTTTTTAATTTTGTTTAAAATTTTAAAATAAGAATCACTTCTCCATGTTCTATTGTATTTTTTCAATGACATATATCTCTAGAAGACATAGTTGATATCTCCTAGTCTGTTGTATATAATTTCTAGAATGTAAAGATTGTCTCTGAGGCCAAAATTAAGAGGCTGCATCCTTTCCACATAGCAAAAA